TCACTCCTATGAGGACTTTAAGAGACAAAACAGATGAACATAAGGGATGGGAAACAAAAATAATATAAAAACAGGGAGGGGGACAAAACAGAAGAGACTCATAAATATGGAGAACAAACTGAGAGTTACTGGAGGGGTTGTGGGGGGGGATGGGCTAAATGGGTAAGGGGCACTAAGGAATCTATTTCTGAAATCATTGTGGCACTGTACGCTAACTAACTTGGATGTAAATTTAAAAATAAATTTTAAAAAATGTATACATTATGTAATAGAATATATTGTTGTTTTCTTTATAGTAATCATATTCTAATCTCCAAAGAAAATATATAGGTAGAAAAAATTTTATCTGTTTTTTTGTTCAGATTTTGTTATCCCACAAATCCAGCTAAATTTATTTAGTCTGCATACTATTCAGAAAAAAAAAGTCAATCATAATTGTATGGGTAATGATGACTGGCTTTTATGTCATTAACATTACATGACCTCAAATTGAATTAAAAGGCTGTAAGTCAATACTCTATAAGGGTTCACCAGCTATTTGTAGTTTATTTATATTCACAATGTTTACATAATCTTAACCAAGCAACCCATATTGAAAGTGGAAATAAATATTACCCTGCTGCTTTTGAATGGGAATAAATAGGTACAGTTTAATAGATTTAACATATAATGGAAGTGGGCTGCAATCTCTAATACAACCTGCTGAAGATTCAATAAAAGCTCAGATATTGACTGACTCTTCAAACTGGTTGTTAGCAACTAATTGGAGACCTTCCCTGACCAATATAGTTTACTGATTTTTGTAAGAAATAAACAGTAAAATAGCTGATAAAATTTTAAAAGGCAACTGTTTCCTAACCACAAAGCAAGGTAATTAAATTGAAAAGGTTAATTTTGAGCACCTGATCAGTAAGTGTAACAGAAACAAATCAATGGAAAGAACTGAAAGATAATAAATGTAAATTTTATTAATTTCTTTGTTTATGGGTAGAAAACTCTATGAAACAACAAAAGACTGGCAACTGGATAAGTCATATCCATTACAGTGGATGTAAATGGATAAGCATTGCTGAGGACCAAGTTTTGGCTCTTTTTTATGCCCTGATAGGCATCCAGCTTCGGCTCAGGTTATGATCTCATGGTTCATGAGTTCAAGCCCCGCCTAGGGCTCTGTGCTGACAGCTCAGAGCCTGGAGCCTGCTTCAGATTCTGTGTCTACCCTCTCTCTCTCTGCCCCTCCCCTGCTCACACTCTGTCTCTCTCTCTCAAAAAATAAACATTAAAAAAAATTAGAATATGTTTTCTTGGTTAAAGAGCTGAGTTCAAATCATAGTTATCAATCTTACTAATTCATAATTTTGTACATATTGCTTTTCTTCTCTGAGCTGCACTTTCTTCATTTGTAAAATGAGACTGATAAATTCTATACAATGGGGTGATGGGGGGATTAAGTCCTATTACTTAATGAATATGAAATAGCTTCTGAATCCGTGTTACTTTTCTACCTATAATTCTTTTATAGCCATGTCATGTCGTTCACATTTTATCCACTTAATTCTGTAGGGAAATTGGGGTGTAATTCAATTCTATGTTTTGGACCACACAATATACAGTAAAGTAGTTTTCGCCAGCCGTCTTTCCTTTATGGACCCCTCCCATGATTACTCAGACCTGAGAAAATGGAGGTTGAGCCTACTGAAATCAGGTTCCACACAGGGCTGCTCCAAAGCCGGGCATAGGGAGTCTTACCCATACCTACAAAACAGACTCAAGGCCAGGGTCAAAATCAGAACTAGTCAGAGTTGAAGGAGGAGACAAAGATCACAGAGAAAACCCGACAGTGTCCTGGGGCAGTTTTAGACATGTTGGCCACTGCCTGAGATGCCTTTTGTGTAAGTGAGCTGGCTTTGTTTGGAAGGATAAGAACAGGCTTAACTACCTAAACTCCTACTACAGGCCAGCAAGATAAGAAGTAGAGTTTTGCCCTCCTGAAAACAGCGTATCTCTTCCTTCTAATTACCAACTTTGTTCTATGCTACACACTAAAATTATAAAGACCTGGGGGAAAAAATCCCACTAAAACAAATCACTAACAGTGACAAGTAAGCAGCAGTTTGTGTTGATGTCTATGTGAACCATTAAGTATCCTCTGTGTGTAATCTATGTATCTAGATCTGTATCCATATCTATATCTATATATCTGTATCTGTATCCATGTTTGTATAATCACATAATCTAATGGGTTAGAATAATTCTAAAGTCAACTACTCAGTTAGTCACTCAACATTCGCTTAAGTTTTCCAGAAAAAGTCCATACTCATATGCTATTCCCTCTGCCTGGTGAGTTTGTTTTTTCCTTTTCTCTACCAGATAAACTTCTATTTCTCCTTTGAGATTTAGCTCAAGATCACTTCCACAATAAGCCTATCTCAATGGTATTTTATTCTCAAATCTTTTATGGTACCTGGCATAGTATGTGCTCAATGCATTACAGTTAAATGCAAAATGGGGATGAATGGCAGAAGAGAAAGATGGGCAGATATCATATTTATTTAATCATATATCATTTACAAATATAGAAAATAAAGTGTCTAAGGTGGAGAGATAATGTTTTGGGGATGATCAAATTATTTTCAAAATTTATAATGTGGTTAACTTCACAAAACTGAGGTAGTTTCCAATAAGCCTGTATACAAGGAAGACTAAAAAAAAGTTAATAACTGTTGTACTTACAGTAACTTACCATTTAGAAAACACTCTATATTTCCTCATGAAATAAGTAACAATAGCTTTATGAATGGCTAATATTTTTCTGATCGACGATCATCTGTGCACGTCTTAACGATAGAATGTCTCATTGAGTGAGGGTCAGAGCAAATAGATGAGGGTAATGAGGGGTTTGGGGAAATAAACTTATCAGGAAGAATGAATGAGATAGTGGCTGCAATTGAGTAAAAAAGTAAGTTTTGACCTTCTGGCAAACAAGGAAAAATTGGAAACCTCAAGTAACTATTCACTGGAGAGAAGCACAAGGCAGGAGGGCCAGCAGGCTTGGGCCTGGCTAAATTAGAGCATCAGAACTGAGGGATTTTAGAGGCTGGTGAATTATGGAGAGGGAGGGAAGAGAGAGAGAAATAGTCTGAAGGCAACTTTTTGGGAGACCCTGAGAGTGACTGAGATGATAATTGTGGTGCTGGTCTTAGGAATTCGCTTACCTCTTCGAAATTGTTGAGAATGATTACAAAAGAGATTAAAATCATTTAAAAATCTTTCTCATTCACTGTACTGTTACTTCCTTCAGTGCAATTCTAAGGTCAACCAGGACCACAAATTAGCACTAGATTCAGGTAGGGTGTGTCATTTGACATTGTAGAGAACAAGCACTAGAGTGATTAAAAGGACAGATTCTGGAGCCAGATTCCGTGGTCTCAAATCATGGCTCTGCTATTTGCTATCTGTAATCCTAGGCAAGTTACTGAACGTCGTAATAAAATAAGGGCAACAGTAGCATGCTGCTCATGTGGGTGCCATTTGAAGCAAATTAGCCCATGAAGCTAGAACAATGCCTGGAACATTATAAACATTCAGTAAGGCTGGTGATGAGGATGAGGGTGAAGATGAAGATGATGCAAAGAACATTTATGTGGCCAATCTTTGGAGTTCCTTCATTTTATAAATATATTGAGTGCTTACTCTGTACCTAGCACGTGCTAAGTTTGCAAGATAAGGAAGAAAACACCTATGAACTCAAAACTCTGGGGATCTCAGTAAAACGTTGGGACATAAGATTTAGTTAATGAAGATCTTTCTAGCAGAGGTCGAATTAATGTAGACCTACCTGGCGTGTGTATAGAGCAGAGACCACCTAGATGGTTAGCACGTTCCGTATATAAATCGAGTCAAATCGTCTGGAATCGCAGATGTATTTTCTCCAGGACAAGTTTTTCTGTTAAAGAGTGGCTTCTGACAAATGGCTTTACCATATTGTCAGGAAATGAGGTCCATAAAATGCAAATACTAGACATGTATGAGGCAAAATTGACATGAAGTTTTAGAAAGAAAAACCTGAGTTCATATGGAATGAAAGGCCTTCCCAACTATACACTGTCATGGGTCTCTGTGATTTTACCTGAGTGAGCTTAAACTTCTATTGTATCTAAGAAATAATTGCTGGTATATGATCGTAGACCACTATAACTACTTGTTTCTGATAACTCATTGCTATATAATATGGCTTTGTAGCACAGAAGGCAGTAAAGAATCGTTTTCCAAAATCTTTCATCATTTGCTATTTTCTCCAGTCTGAATAAAAGGAATTATAACAACCACTTAATGCTACATGATAATTGGAGAATAAAAATGGCCACAGAAATCATAAACCCTTAGTTACACAAAATCTTTATATACGATTATAGTTTACTACTAGATACAAAATAGCTGAAGTGGAAGATGGAAGATTCAATAAGATCTTTTGCCAATGACATGAAGAGAAGATATTTTATAAGTTCATTTTTCCCCCCTTGGGGGGGGGGGCGGCGGGAGAGGGGCAGAGAGAGGGAGACAAAATCCCAAGCAAGTTTTGTGCTGTCAGCACAGAGCCAGATGTGGGGCTTGAACCCATGCACTGTGAGTTCACAACCTGAGCCTAAATGAAGAGTTGGTCGCTTAAGTGACTGAACCACCCAGGCACCCCTGAAGGTCTTTGTTTTTTAAGTGTGTTAGAGACAGGGCTTTTTTCCTAATTAAATGTTACAGGTTAAACATTAAGAAGATAGCTTTAGATTTTATATTTAAGACTGAAGAAGAAATGTTCATTTGAGAACACATGCTATTTATGTAGAGTAGTTAATTAAACCAGATATTCAATTATCACTGATTATTTAATTTTCAATTAATTTAATGCTCTGAAAAATATCCTATCTTAATTTCATCTTAAAATGCAGCGAAATCATACCATGTTGCTTCTGGCCCACACATCTTCATTTGTTCTTCTTTTTCAGGTTTATTCCCTGCTGTCCTGAATCTTGCTTCCAATGCTCTCATCACCACAAATGCAACATGTGGAGAAAAAGGACCTGAAATGTATTGCAAATTGGTAGAGCATGTCCCTGGACAGCCTGTGAGGAACCCCCAATGTCGAATCTGCAATCAAAACAGCAGCAATCCAAATCGTATGTATTTTTTTAATATTTTTTAACATTTATTTATTTTTGAGACAGAGACAGAGCATGAACAGGGGAGGATCAGAAAGGGAGACACAGAATCTGAAACAGGCTCCAGGCTGAGTGGTCAGCACAGAGCCCGACATGGGGATCGAACTCACAGACCGTGAGATCATGACCTGAGCCGAAGTCGGACACTTAACTGACTGAGCCACCCAGGCGCCCCCATATCATATGTATTTTAACACATGTTTGCATGGCACTGGCTAAGATCTGTAGTTGAGAGACTTTTTTTTTTTTAATTTTTAACATTTATTCATTTTTGAGAGAGAGAGAGAGAGAGAGAGAGAGAGAGAGAGAGAAACAGAGCGTGAGTAGGGGAAGGGGAGAGAGAGAGGGAGACATAGAATCTGAAGCAGGCTCCGGGCTCTGAGCTGTCAGCACAGAGCCCGACATGCGGCTCAAACTCACAAACTGTGAAATCATGACCTGAGCCGAAGTCAGTCGCTTAACTGACTGAGCCATCCAGGCACCCCATGTAGTTGAGAGACTTTGAGGTGAAGTTGCATTCAAGTCAAAGGGTTTGTGGTCCCCAAATTCCTAGACCTTTTCTTCCATTGGGTGCTTCTTTATACCTCTTCTGTACCATCTGACAAAATGCCAGAAAGATCAGAATGGGATAGAAAACCTTACTTGCTGAGGGAACTACAAGTAGTTGGAATGGCTAGAACTAAAAGCATAAAAAAGCAGAATGTAGAGATGGGTCTTGTGCAGAGGCTGGAAGTGGATTATGAAGGTTCTTAAACACCACAAGAGGGGAGTTTTAAGGACAGGTGTCATACAAAACCCTCTTGCTGGCTTCTATGAACCACACTGACGTCTCAGATACATTTATGTGTTTATTTGGCAAGCATATGAACCCCTGCTGCTAGCAATGCATTGTACTGAAGTATAATGGTAACTCATACATAGTTCCTGACTTAAGCGACTTAGGGGGGGAATAGGGGAAGCAGAAAAGTAAATTGAGTGTTAAGGGTACATGAGAGAGGCTATTTAACTATTTCTGGGAGAAAGTGACTCATGTGCTGCAGAAAGAAGAATAAGATGAAAAGTATTATAAAAGAAAAAGCATACACAAGTCTTGGAGTTATGGAACAGCGTGATACATTCAGATAATGATAAGTATTTTGGTTTAATGGGTAAAGAATTTATATGGAGAAGGGGAGAATGGTGTGAGAGGATTCTAGAGATGGAGGTTGATTTAGAGATACACGTTGGGAAATTATCAAATCTGTTGGGGAGGTTAATAATGTGAATACTTAATGTCAAAGAGGTGAGTTCTAATGGGGATAAAACTTCACAATTATAGCATTTTAAAATTTGCTTAGTTTCCTTCTCTTTTTAAGCTAAAAACCTATAAAATGAAAGAAGTTTTCTCTCACAATTTGCATTTTTTTTTACCTCAAAATAAAGTTGGAAGGCCTTGTGTGTTCTTTATTGGAACTAGTTAAAGGGTAGAATGCATGGTTCCCTCTCTATTATTTAATTTAGAGATGCTGAAAACATTATGTTTGGAGAATTGGAACTTTTGTGATTAAAACTGGTGGGTCTTGTGTATCACAGAATGTTTAAAAAATCTTAAGATGGCAACTACCAGAATCTTCCATGTCTTTAATGACTCTGATTATTTCTGTGATTCAGACTATTATGATATAGGTATGAGTGAGGAGTAATGGAACACATCTCACCTGTTGGCTTATTTTTTAGAACAATAAGGGCAGAGGACCTGGGTCAAAGCCCCGGGAAGCATCAGAAGCTAAGGGAGGTAGATTTAGTGGAATCCAGGAAGGCAATAAAGAGAAACAGAATCCAAGGAAGGAAGGCAGAAGATTCAGGTACCATGCTTGTGAGGAAGGAAAGAATTTTCACAAAGAATGAATAATCAACAATGTTAGCTACTTCAAGATATTGAGTAAGAAAGTGTAAAATAGATTTTCCTTGATTTTGACAATATGGACATCCATTGGTAAACTTGTCAAAGCAGTCAGTGGATGGATGAGGCAAAAGCCACATTCAAGAGTTAGTGAGTGGTAAAAAGGAAAGAAAGAAGTATAGGGGTGTTCTTTCAAATATCCTTGGTGTGAAAGAGAATGGATGTGGTGTTTTGAAGGTTTTCAGAGATGGGGCATTTGAGCAAGTTTCAGTCGAAAGGAGAGGCCAGGAAACTTGAGGATAAAGTGACAATGGGGGTGGTAGTTCTCTAGAGGTAAAAACAGATGAGTCACTGAGCACAGGTAAGAAGGCATCCTTTTAACTCATCAAATCAGAAAGAGGGAGGATGAGTAGAGGTAGATAGAAGGGAGTATTTGGGAGGAAATTCTTATTTAATGCTCTTAATTTTCCTATTAATACGTGTGTCTGGGTGTTCTGTTAAGGAAAGAAGTAAAATTTTGATTAGCCCCTTTGGGTAATAGGAGGAGAATTGCTGAGCCATAGTGAGAATAAAGTGAGAATTCTATATGGGGTGGAATGGAAGAATCAAATGTTTGTGCTGATCCTCATGGAGTTTTACAGAGAAAGTAGAATGGAAGAATAAGGTGGCAAGAAAATTGAAGTCAAGTCTGGAAGATAAATGAATTGATGGACTATGAGCTTTAGGTTCGTTAGGGAAGAAAATGAAGCCTGATGGAGAGAAACTGCCATTGGTTTAGACTGGTGGCCTTGATGATTTGATAAAGAATGTGAGAAAGGCTAGAGGCATGGAAATGTTGGGGAGGGGGTGGAGAGGATGCACTGGGCAGAAAGGGGGAGTTAGGTAAAGTATATAAAGTTGTGTGTGTGTGTGTGTGTGTGTGTGTGTGTGTGTGTATACATGCATATATGTGTTTATATATGTATGTATATAAATATAAATACATATATGTGTAGTTCCTGACTACAAGTACAAGGTTAGGATAAATAAGGCTTGAACATAGAAAGCAATTAAGCAAATATTCCAAACAGTAAACTCAGGGCTTATTATCTGGTACATATTATAAATGATGTAGAATGGCCCCTGGGTGGCTCAGTCCATTAAGCATCTGACTCTTGATTTCAGCTCAGGTCATGATCTCACAGTTGGTGAGACTGAACCCTGCATCCAGCTCTGAGCTGACAGTGCAGAGCCTGGTTGGGATTCCCTCTCTCTCTCTCTCTCTCTCCCTTTCTCGCTCCCCCCGCCCCATGCTCTTTTTCTCCCTCAATAAATAAATAAACTTAAAAAATAAAAAGTGATGCCGGAGTACCTGGGTGGCTCAGTCAGTTGAATGTCCGGCTTCGGCTCAGGTCATGATCTCACAGTTCGTGGGTTTGAGCCCCACGTTGGGGTCTGTGCTGACAGCTCAGAGCCTGGGGCCTGCATCAGATTCTGTGTCTTCCTTCTCTCTGCTCCTCCCCTGCTCATGCTCTATCTCTCTGTCTCTCTCTCTGTCTCTGTCTCTCTCTCTCTCTCTCAGAAATAAATGAACATTAAAAAAAATTTTTTTTAAATAAAAAATAAATAAATAAATAAAAAGTGGCATAGAATTTCTGAGAAGGAAAACATTAGTGGGAACTGAAGTATTGAGAGGAAGTTCCAAGAGCCGGTCAGATTCAGCTGAGAATTAAAAAGCTGAATTGCCTGAGATTAGAAGGAAAGGTATTCCAGGAAAGGAGAAAAACAAAGAAATGTGTACACTCACAGAGGAAGGAAGGAAGGAAGATGGAAAGCTTGGCGTGGAAAATAATTGAGGGGAGACTCTTTTTTAAAATTAAATATATATATATATAATTTTATTATGTAAAATAGTATAAATATGTATTATAAATAATAAATTTATTATTAAATAATTTATTTATTATAAATACTAAATACATAATCATATAATTATTTATTATCAATTATATATATGAATATTTAATTCTTGAGCAAGAAAGAGAGTCCATAAGTGGGGAGAAGCAGAGGGAGAGAATCCCAAGCAGCCTCTGCACTGTCAGCATGGAGCCCGATGCAGGACTTGAACCCACGAGCTCACAAGATCATGACCTGAGCTGAAATCAAGAGTGGAACACCTAACTGACTAAGCGACCCAGGTGCTCCAAGTGGAGACTCTTGGTTGGAAAAATGAATGAGGTGCATTTGCTAAACTGAGTCCAGGAGCAATCCTGTCATTTCCCCCTTCAGAGTTATATAGTCAGGGTCTCTTATGTCTCCATGGAAGATGTCCATGTTTAAGCAAGCCTGTCCCATAGGTTTATATTGGGACAGAAGTGACAGATTGTTTTAGTAAAGCAAGATACACAGGAAGTATGTCTTATATTTCCTCATTTTTATTTACCTGAAGTATTTTTTTAAGACTTTTTTTTAATATTTATTTTTGAGAGAGAGAGAGAGACAGACAGACAGACAGAGTGTGAGCAGGGGAGGGGCAGAGAGAGAGGGGGAGACCCAGAATGCGAAGCAGGTTCCAGGCTCCGAGCTGTCAGCACAGAGCCTGATGCGGGGCTCAAACTCACCATGACCTGAGATCATGACCTGAGCTAAAGTTGGTTCAGAAGCTCAACCAACTGAGCCACCCAGGTGCCCCTGCCTGAAGTGTTTTTTAACCTATCATAATCTGGATTTACTTTGTGTGATTAATTTTAAGCTACCACCTTCATTACATTTCAAAGTCTTGTTTTGGAACTAGAGATAGGGAAAGAACATACCCCATAAGAATAAAAATCTAGCAATAGACTATATGAATATATTTTAGGAAAAGTTGGAGCAGCAGATGATAAAATTTTACAAATGCATTGAACTGCTAGAACATATCAGGCAGGTCTGTGCGTAATCACCATACAAAGAAAAGGAAGCTTGAACTTCGGTTACTAGATTGTGCTTTCCAATTATAAATTAGCAGTTTGAAAGATTTACTTCATCAGCGATTCCCTGGCCAGTATTCTGATGCAGTTAGCCCTTGGATTTACTTGTGTAGCTATCCCTGTTGAGGATGTTATAAGTTTCTATCTCATTCTAAATAAGGGAAGTATGCCAACAATTAATCAGTATTTGCAAATTAATTATGATTAAACTTTCATAATAGGGATTATGGTTAATTGTTGATTCATCTCCCAGTCCTCATTTTCGTGACTAATTCTCATATCAATTTGACCTGAGGTGGCAGATATAAAAATTTCCAATTAGACAGCTTCTCCCAGAATTACCTGAGCCACAAATTTGATTTGGAAATATGGTTGTGGGTGTGTTTTTCTATCACATATTAAACCCACAATCTGTAAAGAAGATTCCAGAGGATGTTTGGGGAATGTTTGTTGTGATATTTATTTTCCTTCAGAAGCAATGCCAGTAATATTTCATTTATGTCTGATTCCTGACGTGTCAATTTCAGCACGCATTGGCACCACAAGGGCATTTGTTTGATATTTAGTTATGCTTATGGTATTTGCTGTCATTATAAAGACCTGACACCTTTGCTATAGCTTCAACAGAACAAGTTCACTAGTGCTAATTATTAAATACGTTCAGCAGTTTTACTTTTCATTAATGAGGTAGGATGCCTCATCTCAGTGGACTGCTAATGTGATAAGACTTGAGACAAAACAAAGTCCATCCAGTTGTTTAGTTGAATTAAATCATTTATCAGTAAAAATAGAACATTTTTGTTCTGTCCTATGCTCTCATGTTCCCATAAGTAAGTCAAGGACATAAACCTTTATGCTTTTAATTAAACAAGTTATAGCAGGCTACTTTGACAAAATTAATCTAAAAATATTCACAATCTAAAGATGGCAAACTTAATGAATATTCAGTTTTGAATAAAATTTTTCTTTTGAAGATGACTTGACGTTATTATCAAATTCCTATTGCATTGAGGACTTCATTTTGCTTTGTTTTGTGACTTTCACATTTTTTACGAAATGCAATTTGCCTGTAATTAAGATTCAGAACAGTATACATTTTGAACAGATGTATAATTTATTTTATATATATGCATAATAATGGTTAGACTATTAATAGCTGTAATGTTCCTCTGGTAACCCTGTAAGATTAGAGTTCTCATCCAAGATATGTTTACTGGCCCCTGGAAAAAAGAGAAACTGAGAAATTCCCAATTTTTTGTGAAAACAAAATGAGTGCATTTTAAAGAATGGTTCTTCATTTTGAAATTATGATTCTTTAAAACTTTGCCTGGTTCAAATGTTCATTAGTTTATGAAATAACAGTGATGGTACATTAAATGACAGTAAAAGTTGACTGGAGGTTCCTATGTTTTACATAAATAAAGAGCTAGAACTCCTATATCAGTTCCACAAACCACTCATACACTTTTTTTTTTACTTTACTTTTTTCTGAAACTTAATCTGGGAACAACTGCTGTGAGTGGAGTTTTGTTAACCCTAGTTCAAGAATTGTGCACACGCTTTAAGTGAGTTGCCATTGTTGAATACCAAATGGTGGAGCCAGGTGGAGTACAGGTGGACTATTTATCTCCTCATACTCCCCCCTTCATATTCCAGATCTCATGCTTTTTTCATCACCATTATCATTAGAGTACATGGCTACATGCTACACCTTGTAGGCAAACAGAGGTCCATGATTGCTCCTTGTAGTGATGAGGTTTGTTCATTATTTGAAGTATTCCTTCCATTTACCAAAAAAGATTGTGTTCTAATCTGAAAGGTTACTCTTAGGCTATTTATTTGAAACATCTCCCCGGAGAAGTAGTGTTCAGAAGTTCTCAAGACTGACGCTCCAAAGCATATGTTATCCGTGATGTATAGAAGAGTAGCAGGGAATCTAGCCTCCAGTTTATTTACATTTCTATGGGCAAATAGCTGACTTTCAAGTGAGAATTTAGGAAGTTAAGTACCCTTAGTGCAGCCCTTGGAATAGAAATAGGAACCTCTTGGGGCACCTGGGTGGGTTAATTGGTTAAGCATCCGACTTCGGCTCATGTCATGATCTCGAGATTTGTGAGTTCGAGCCCCGCATCGGGCTCTGTGCTGACAGCTCAGAGCCTGGAGCCTGCTTCGGATTCTGGGTCTCCCTCTCTCTCTGCCCCTCCCCCATTTGCGCGCGCTCTCTCTCTCTCTCTCTCTCTCTCTCTCTCTCTCTCTCAAAAATAAACATTAAAAAAAAGAAAAGGAGAAATTGGAACCTCTCCATCCACCTCCACTCCTGCCATTCTCACCTGTGAATGAGCTGGGCCTGCTGAGAACAGAACAGAACTTGTGTTACTTGGAAACGAGAACAGATTTCCAATGGCTAAGAATCAAAACAGAATGAGGGCTTTGGCACCTCAGGGGTAATGGCTGCTGTTGTGAGATACATGGAGCTAAATTGGAGAAGAAATGTGAGGTTTGAGGGGTGTAAGGAGAAAGGAATGGTAAGAAAGAACAGTAGGGGTGGGGAGGGCTGGGGTGAATGTCCGCCCCTCCCATCGTCTATCTCCAGTCTTCCTTTTATTTATTTTAAAATTATTTTAAAATTTTATTTATTCATTTTGATAGAGAGAAAGAGCAGGAGTGGGGGAAGGGCAGAGAGAGAGGGAGAGAAGGAGAGAGAGAGAGAGAGAGAGAGAGAGAGAGAGAATCCCACACAAGATCTGAGCAGTCAGCACAGAACCCGATGCAGGGCTTGAACTCACCCACTGAGAGATCATGGTCTGAACTGAAATCAAGAGTCGGATGCTTAACCAGCTGAGCTACCCAGGAGCCCCTCCAGTACAGAACAGTAGGTTCTGTTCTCACCTATAGGTAGTAAAGGAGAGGGAAGATCCATGTTTTGTTGGTAGGAGAGAGTTTTGTGTGCTGTTGTCTCCCTGCTTGCAGACTCCTCCACTGAGTTAGTGATGATGGGGATGGACAATGCTAAATGAGATGTTTGGAGTATCTTTCATTATATTTTTATTTTTTATTTTTATTTTTTAACTTTATTTATTTTTGAGAGAGAGCGTGAGCAGGGGAGGGGCAGAGAGAAAGGCAGACAGAGGATCCAAAGCAGGCTCTGCACTGACAGCAGCAAGTGCTCAAACTCCACAAACCCAACCATGATATCAGGACCTGATCCAAAGTCTGACATTCAACTGACTGAGCCACCCAGGCACCCTGCCCCTCATTATATTTGTAAATACTGGTTGAAAGTTGGCAAGTTAAGGACTGACCATGAAAAGCCTCATAGGATGGATCTGACAGCATTTTGTATGAAGCCCAGGTAACTGGCACCAGGGTGGTACAGTCAATTAAGCATCTGACTCTCAGTTTCAGCTCAGGTGATGATCTCCCGGTTCATGGGTTTAAGCACTGCATTGGGCTCTGCGTTGATGGTGCAAAGCCTACTTGGGATTCTCTCTCTCCCTCTCTTTGCTCCTCCCTCACTCATACTGTCTCTGTCTCTCTCAAAAATAAACTTAAAAAAAAAAATCCCAGGTAACATATTGGGCTGCCCAAGTCTTGGTAATAATGAACATGTCAAAAGGGCAAATCTTCAAGTACCCTTCAACCACAATTCAGAATTTTATGGGTTTTTTTTTTCTCACAGTGTGGATGGCATACAAGAGCTGCCTCAAACATTAATTTTTGCATCTTGGAAGGACTGACGTGTTCATCAGATTTCAATATTATTTCTTCACACTTAATTTCTGTAGTCATCTTCAAAGTTGCCTATTTTAATTGATGGCCAGAGTATTGAACAGCTTCTCTTATAGCCTAAGTATTTAAGCATTTCATATGCCATAGAGTGGTCTGAAAAAACTGGCATTAAATAAATTCTCTTGAAGATATGAATTGATCTCTTTGTATTATTTTGCCGTTTGATATTCACATGATGATGGCTTCAACTTAGTTTTACTTTTTTTCTTTAAAGAAACAGCGATCAACTCATTATATGTTCTTTTTTTGTCCTTTCGCCTGCTGCTGATTCAATAGAGAGACACCCGATTACAAATGCTATTGATGGAAAGAACACTTGGTGGCAGAGTCCCAGTATTAAGAATGGAATTGAATACCATTATGTGACGATTACACTGGATTTACAGCAGGTATAGTCCCTCTTTTTTATTTATTTACCAATTTCTACTTTTAAAATTGTATTTTTGATTTACTATTTAGTTAGTAGTTCTTGGGTGAATTTTGCATTTATTTCTAAAGCACAATGAAAATGAATTCACATGAAGAGTTTAGAACTGAATTAGCAGCTGACTCTGTTTTGACTAATGAGAGTTAATGATGAAAATATAGATCAAGCACGTTTTACATAAAGAAAATATAATAGTGCCATTTTTTAACTTTTAAAATACTACAGCTCTCCCGTTCTGATCATGGTGTGTTCACTGAAAGGTTCTTGGATAACAGGGCTCTTGAGTAAATTGCCTCTCATTACTGAGAGTTGAACAAGCTGTGACAGTTGATTCTTAAATTAAACGTGGGCCACTAAATGAGGTAACAAGCCTTGTAGTTGTACAAAATTGACGTTCAAGTTGTTCAAGTTTGTGTGGCAGAGGCCCGGGTGCCTTCTACACTTAATTTCTTTCTTCTTTTCATTCACAATATTCAGGTCAGGCTGAAGTTATTGCTCAAGGGCCACCATCACCCCAAATTATTTAGGCTTGCAGATAGGATGGGATCTGGTAAAGTGTTTCCATATTTTGCTGTTATTCCAAATATAAAAACTAATTTAATTGACTGAAGCCTGAGACTGGGGGCATTTTACATAGGTTGCTTCTGTAACTCAACCTCTTTCTGATTCCCTGTAATCTGTGAGGGAAAGGCTCTCAGCCATTCCTCCTGGGCCCAGTAGGGACAGAGAAGCAAAGCATTTTGGGGTTAGTGAAGGCAGAATGACCAAGATAGTTAGTGACAGATACTATATATACACTGTAGAGGTCATATTAACACAGGTAGTCATGGTGGAGGGAAGCACCAGCCAATGGGGATTGGTCACATTCTCAGAGGACCAGATAGATACCAGCCATTTCACATATGGATGCTGTGTATCATCAACAGGAGTACAATCTCCTCTATTCAGAGCTTGGGCCCATTTTTGGTCAGGGTATACACATTGGGGAACTGCAAATTGCTGGCTGGTGGGTCTCACAGGAGATCTTCTTTTTACTCATCTGGGACAATTCAGGACCTAAGCACCTGGGTGACAGCAAGGGCTCAGGGCTGCAACTAAATCACCAGGTGGCATGGATTTATATCCACCCATACTAACAGCTGAATGTCAGCCTTGAGTTAATGGTATTTCCCAGTAAGTCTCCAAGCACCATCAAGGAATGGCAGGGCAAACTATTGCACTGATCAATCATGCTTTAGGTCAATGATCTCTGGTGCGTGAATCCCCTGAGGATCCCACCTTCAAAGTGGACTTCATCCCTCTTCTGATAAAGACAGCTTAGTTCTTTATCAGTCACCGTGGTTCTCTCTCTTCATGTGGTGTTTGAAAGTTGGCCTTCCCAATCAGAAGTGATTTTGCTGTTACCTCGAGTCATTGTCAGGGATAGGGAGTTAATAAATAGTGATGGCTAATTTCTCTAGTTTACTCTCTGCTTATTCTTCAATTTGCACATGGGGCAACTTCAGAGTCAACTCTTTTATTTTTTTTTAAATGTTATTTATTTTTGAGAGGCAAAGGGACAGAATGCGAGCGGGAGAGGGGCAGGGAGAGAGGGAGACACACAATTCAAAGCAGGCTCCAGGCTCTAAGCTTTCAGCACAGAGCCTCACTCAGGGCTCAAACTCATGGACCATGAGATCATGACCTGAGCTGAAGTGGGACACTTAACCATCTGAGCCACCCAGGCAGTCTACTCTTAATATAATTTACATAAATCACTTATATTACTCTTTGCTCTCAACCATAATAGTATATATTTAATAAGCATAGCAGCATTTTTCCCTTCCAGTTTAAAACTGGATGGTACCATTACAAGTTTTTATTAAATCATTTCTATCCAACATTCCTATCATTATTAATTCAACAGGTCAGAGTGCACCTGAAAGCCCATTTCTCAATGAAGACATTTCTTTTTTCCTAGGTTTGCTTTGTATCGCCACTCATCTATTCCCGCATGATATCTTAAGACTTATGTGGATTTGTTTTCCTGTTTAGTTTAATAGCCTTAAAATTGAGTGAATACTCCAAGACACCTTTTATAGTTGAGTCTTCATAACAAGTTATAAAATTCTATTTATAAGACAGGTCTACCTAACTCCAAAGTCTGGAGTACGCCTAGTGGAAGCCGTACATGGGCCCCTATATTACAGGATGGCACCCACCCATGTCCTTACTTATTTTAACCCCCTCCTACTTCCTGCAAATCAACCTACTGTATGTTCAAGAGAAGGGCAGTACAATTTGTAAAATGAAATAAATCTTTATTTCTATTTGACTCAAGGTTTTAACTTAGCTAGTGTTTTAGTGACGTAAAAAGTTAAGTAGGTTTTGTAATCTGTTTTTATGATGGAATTCCTCAGGCAAGAAGGGGCTTTAGCCCTCTCCTTTGGTCTTAGGCTTGGAGTAACAAATTCCTGTAACTTGTAACACATTCCTGGAACTTGTTTAGCTAAGGAACAAAGCTGCAGGCAGGCATGTTTCAATGCATTGGCAACAGAGACAATGTGGACATCCTTAGTATTTATTTACTTCTCACAAAAATCTTAAAAGAGCAGCTGGAATTATTATCCTTACGTAAAAAAAAAAACAAAAAAAACAAACCAACACTGAGACTTCGAAAAGTCAAGTGACTTGGCCTTCTTTACAAAGCTAATTATGGACAGGGCTAGGATTTCAAGCTAGGTAGTCTGAATCCAGACCAGTATTTCCTAAACTGGGATCTGAAGGCTAGCTTAGGGGTTGCTCGTGAGAAATTTTGGTTTTTAATTTTAAGAGCTTCGTTTATTGCTTGGATTCTAGAAGTACCACACTATGATCTCCTGGCTTCTATGGGAGAATACAACCATCTGTCTTATTGTAAAACGAGAGACTAGATCTCTCATTTTCTAGTACATTTTAGTATGTCTCTAACATAGCATAACTTCTGTCTTTTTTTAAACCTACATCATGAAGGATTAATAGGTTATTCAGCATAATATGAGCTATTATCCTACTGGGAACCAAGGACAGCAGTTTCATAATGAATAGGTAAATATCACTAAGTGTTTGTTTGTCATTGATTCAGCAAGAGCTTTGGCCATTCCTTAGCTCTCCTTTTTATTTTGAGATGTAGGAATTTCATCCAGTGCCAGTTTTACTTGCTGTCGTTGATATATACTTGGCTCCTCCGTGAAATACTTTTAATAAAATTACTATTTTTTTTTAATTTTTTTTCAACGTTTTTTATTTATTTTTGGGACAGAGAGAAACAGAGCATGATTGGGGGAGGGGCAGAGAGAGAGGGAGACACAGCATCGGAAACAGGCTCCAGGCTCCGAGCCATCAGCCCAGAGCCTGACGCGGGGCTCGAACTCACGGACCGCGAGATCGTGACCTGGCTGAAGTCGGATGCTTAACCGACTGCGCCACCCAGGCGCCCCTAAAATTACTATTTTAAATATAAACAGCCACCATTGAATTTCCTTGATTAAATCTTTATAGATTACACCAGAAAATTCCTTTTTACACTTTAACATTCTAGGTAAGTATGAAAAACAATTTACTGAGAAGAGAGTGGCTCCTTATTTTATTAATAGATTGTTTTCAGATTTTTATTACTGAGGAATTACTAACTTTTCCCAATTCTGTTATTTACTCACAGCATATCTTGAGCAAATGACTTCATCATGCTGTGCCCCAATTTCTAGATTAGCATAATAAATATTAAAATATCATGGTAAGAAATCTGAAGTGATGATAATAGCAAAATAGCAATTTTGGGTATTATAAGGTCCTGGTATCAGCATAAACTTGAAGAGAAACTTAACTGCACAATGTGTATACCAAAATCCAGTATGAGGACAAAGAAAAATATACAGCAATTTAAAAGACAATAATGGGGACTTAAAAGTTAATAGGATATCCAAAATAGTCCCTTTTAACTCATTTCCAACCAGATTTTTACTATAATATGGGTTATATCTGATTTCATTTTTTGACTTAAAAAAAATCTGGCCATTTTCTCTCTCTTTGATTTATTTAGGAAGAAAGCCAACTGGAGGCAAGTGAGATAAAACATAGGCGGGCAGGCAGCTTTTTGATAGACTTTGTTAATATAAAGTGAGGTCATTTTCATTCCTGCATAATCCAGGTATGCCATGAAATTAGTTATACACATGTGAAGGAATCTCCTTCATTTTGATAAACAATTCACTTCTCTTCCTGGTCTATCCCCCAAAACTAAAAATGCATTTGTAAAGAAAGATAGTCTTGAAGCTACAGAGATCTTGACCTAAATATTTTATTCATTGACCTTACAGAGACATATTTAGTGAGTTAGGTTAACAGTGTTAAATGAGGTTTGGAAGGAGGTTGAATTAGCATTACTGTGCAAATACTATGGTTTTAAAATCTATGTGAGTAGCATGGAAACATTTTTCCTATATCTTTAAACTGTTGGTGAAATGATTGAACATTTTTGTAATAATAAAGTGTGAAATACATTAAAATATTTCAGTATGTTCAATTTTTTCATATATTCAATATTTTCTTGTTTAAACATAATAAGGATGGTCAAATTTTCAATCTCAAAGGAAGATTGTTATCCTTTCATTGCATATTCTTTTCTCACACTCCTCTTACTCATTGCTGTTAACAAATCCATTGTCCTATAGCTTAGAGAACATTAGCTCCACCTATTAAAGAATGAAAAGAGAGAGAGAGAGAGAGAGAGAGAATTTATAAGCATTCAAGAGGTTGGTTGGAGTATAAATGATACACATTTAATTAATATCTCATTATCTAAGCAAAAGAGACATACACATGTAATATATTAAAAAGCCATACAAGATTTATTTATTTATTTATTTATTTTTTAAACGTTTACTTATTTTTGAGACAGAGAGAGACAGAGCATGAACGGGGGAGGGGCAGAGAGAGAGGGAG